AGCCTTTCTTCTGGACTATAACTCACAATTCCAATAGGTAAAATTGACGCATATTTGCAGATACTAAACATTTGGTCTTCTAAGAAAAAAAATACTTTAAAGTAGGCACAGAGGAGTTTCACATGACACCAATAAGATATTTACTGTATAAAATGCACCACTAGACAAATACGGCTACAAGAATTCATTTGAATAAGCACACAGCCATCGAAGTATCTCACACGTTCATTATAATACACTCATTCACACTAGTTTATATACACTGAGTAAGTCATTAAATATTGCACTTATTGGCCCATGAACCCTCAATTCTGAGGTGTTGAAAAATAGAAAAAAAATCTATTTTTTAGAACATATTTCATGCAACATTTAAGACATTTCAGTTCTACAAACACCGTTAAATAGTTGTACATTTGGACAGTCCAACTGTATCACGTCACGTCTGACATTAACAATATATTAACAGGAATTACAGGACAGTTTTCGTTCAGTGAACCTATTAGGGATAATGAGATGATGCATGGAAAGTCATCATAGTGACACAGCAGACATCCCCCAACTTCACTTTGACAAAGGGTATGGAACCAACAGTCAGATGTAGGTCATGCTCATGTCCCTGAAAGGCCACTTGTCTGTGTGTTTCATACACCACCTGCATCTATTAGAATGGCATACATGAAACTAAGCAATACTAAGCTCCAAAAAACATGATGTGGAAATATTCTATTAAGCAATAAAGCCACAGCCAATTCTCAGTTGTCCACAATGAAGAAAAATATGAACACAGGTAAATAAACTACATTGGTAACTCCCAACTCCAACAGTAGCTGCTGAAAGGAGATAAGTGGTGAAACTTGAGTCTCATTTCCTATTTGTGGTCCTGCTATTCCATGAGGATAGTACTTTAAAAATGAAATGATTAAAAATAAATCAGGAAATAGGAAAGAGCAACACAAAGCAAAAGTTCAATTTGTACACTAGCTAATAGATCTGATTTTAACACTCAAACTCTGTGTGAGGTTTTGAAACCATTCATTTCTGTTAGCTAGAATGTTAGCAAAATGTGTTTTCTCTTCACCGTCTTGGTTTAATGGGGATTCATTACATGCACAGACCTAGACTAATCAAATTACTGTGAAGAATCTAATTCATGGTCCTTTTAAAACAAGATGTGAGATCCAGTTGGCACATGTCAAATGTTCCCTTTTCTACAGCACTGAGAAAGCACCATAAATGGAATTTTCCCTTCACTAAAAAAGGTGTCGTCATTGGTTGTAAGTGTGTGTTGGGAATTGCAGCACTGTGCAGCCCAAGAGTGAATATTTTTCCATCCACTAAAAGGAAATATGATCTGACTAGAGCGTCAAGCATATCTAAGAGGGTTTTAAAAATGCATTTATTTATGAAATACCAGTAGCAATAGTTAGGTACATTATAGATAAATCCCATCAACCTGTTTGCGCCTCCTTAAAGGATATTGTGTTTCTTGAACCTACAGCCCTTTAGGGGTAAAGACATTTTTTTGCAGGGGTGATTTGGTTATTAAGATTATCTTTTATCCAATTTGTTCCAATGGATTCAGGGCATAAAATTGCCTTATGTCTTCAACTGATTTGTCAAAAATTTATGTAAAATATAAAGCAATCCCAAAAGTTGATCCTAATATTGAAAGGTTTAGTACATCAGCAAGATATCACCACTTTATTGGCAACCTAGCGCAGGTAGTGTTCACAAACAGGCAGGTGAGTAGCACTAGAGATGATGCATTTATCAGAGAGTGATTAGCAAGGCCACAGGGGCCTAACTCCTCAATATACATCAAGAAACAGAGTTCCAGGGACCCATAATGTGATCTGTCATTTAGAGAGAAAGGGGTTGTCAGGCAGACAGGCTCACTCCCAAGTACAACGCTCCAAAAATATCTCATTGAGCATTCCAACAGCTCTATGAAGATTATCAACAGACTAACTTTTTGGTCTAGAAGAGTTTCAGTCACGACTTCAAGTTTGATGTCACAGTTTTTCACATGCAGTTGCTACGTCACCTTGGTAGAGTTTGGACACATTTTTTAAATACAGTTCCACAAGTACTACACAGTTAACTAAAAGATTGTAGGACAGCCTCAACCATGCACTAAGATACATGTTGGATAAAACACATCACAATGAGCCACTGATTATGAACTATGACACTCCAAAATTAATATTGCTTCATGGAAATTCAGCTAACAATGGAATGCATTTTGCTTTTTAAAAAAGAAGACCATTGTATACCTGAAAGTCTACTGGTCAGCAAAGATGTAGTTAAAATTGAAAGTTTAAATTGGCTCAAAAAAAGTGACTAAATGAACAAAAGGCCTATAGTTAATCTGGGTAAGAATTAAAAGAAATATACATTTGTTTATTGAATGTACTGATATCTTGTATAATTTGAGTTGCAATTTTGTTGAATTCATATTTTGCATTTATCATCACAATGCTGCAGCTTTCCACTACAAATGAAGGCACCATCATAGCTCCCTTTCCAAATAAAAATCGTAGCACTTATCAGGTAGCAGAGGGATACTGAATTTCAAGTGAGCCAAAGGGGAAATGATGCTTCTTAAAGTCATTAGAAGTTCATCATGGCAGTAGAAGCTGTTCAGTAGGGGTAAACACAACAAAACAATTCATTGTTTTACAGAAATTCTTCAGAACCCATAGATGTGAAGCCAATGGTTAAACTATCATCTTAGGGCTGAGCAACATCTCACATACTTCTGTATCCATTCATATTCCCAATTCCTGAAATGCTGCACAGATGCTTATTTAGATGAAACAATTTTCAATCCAATTTCTCAATTGCATTAGGAAAGGAAAGGAGGTACCAACACCAAAGTTCTTGGAAGCATCTGCCTAAAACAGTCAAGATTTACTCATAAATCTATTTTGAAAAGTGGGGGTGGCCAGGTGGTGAGCAGCAGGGAAATTCAAATCATACTTGAATTTCTAACCTAATTACATCAAAGAAAACAAGAGATGATATCCAGGATTTACAAATTAACACAAGCACACACTTTTTTAATGTGTCTTGTTCTTTTAAATAAAAAATTAGGTCCATGGTAAAAAATGACCTGTAGACATTTAGGCTGTTGGTAGATGGAGGTATAGTGAGTATGTGTGTATCCGAAAGATTGAAAAATCCTGAGCTAAAATTCTATAATTTGTAAATAACCCAGCTCAATGCCAATAGAGGCTCACTGAGCTAACCCTGGACTTGTTTCTTTATTTGCCAAATTTTATTTTAAAGACAAGATATCTTGCTGAAATTAAGAATAGAGAACAATCTCTTCCATATGCTTTATGTCAGGAACACAGGTGCTCTTTTTTGAGCTGTCTGATAATTGTTTCTGTAAACTTTTTAGTTATTCAGAATGAAATTCATAGTAGAGTGAGAGCTTCAGAACCGAGAATCAATTAGGAAGGCTCTACTCCCACGAAGTTTGATTTTTTTTTTTTTTTTGGTACCAGGGATTGAACTTGGGTCCTTGTGCTTGCAAGGCAGGCCGCTGAACCGCTGAGCTAAATCCCCGGCCCCCTCCCATGAAGTTTAAAAAGGACAGAGTATTGAATGTTTCCTGGCAATGATGACAGGGCTACCATTGCACCATCTTCTGGACCGGCACACAGAGCTCCAACTTTAGGACACAGCAAATGGGCACTTGGTTTTGGTCTCTTGCTCCAAAGGCCAATTAATTCTAAAAGCAATCAGTTCTTTGGGGAAGGAGTTTTCAGGTTAGCAAAAATTGGTTCTCTCTCTCTCTCTCTCTCTCTCTCTGTACCTGGGATTGAACTTGGGTCCTTGCACTTCTGAGGCAGGCGGTGGCACCTCGGAGCTAAATCCCCAGCCCTGTTTTTCTCTTTT